AGGAAGGGTAACAGGGCAGAGAAGCACAGATCAATTTAATGTACAGTTTGACAGAACTCCCTCCATAAACTTGTAAATGGAGGAGCCCTGAAGATGGGCAGTTCAGCCTAGGACACAGATCCTCGCTGGTCAAGGAGTCAGCAGCACTGTTGTTTGGAGGAGATCCTGCCTCAACCCCAGGCTTCTAGGTTTCTCCTCTCACTGTGAAGATGAAGAACAAAAAATTTCCCCCCTTGATTTGCTTCTAAAGGTACTGAGGTTTTCCTTCTTCTGGAGCACTAAGGACAAGCTCTAGGCCTCCTGCAAGGGTGCAGCCAGCATCACAGTCCCAGAGGTCTGCTCACACGTTAGGCTTAATGGTATTGCGAGATTAGGGTCAGGAGGGAATTTTCCTGGATTGACAGAAAAAAAACTGTAGTTGCAATTTTTGTGTGATTTTGGATTTTTTTTTTCCCACTTCTCCAAGTTCAAGTCTCCTTTCTAGATCCATTTTTTTTTTTTTCCCCACAAATTCTCTTCCACCACCAGGCTGCAGACCTGATGGTGCCTTAACCTCCCTTCCTTGCTTCCTGTGGCACTTTACAACTGGAGCTTTCTTTTTTCCCTGAGAGGAGTCAGGAAGCATTCTCAGCACCTGGCTGGTGGGATGACTGGTGCAGGCATCCAGTTTAGAAGCACCAGCAGGACATTCATTTACTCCCAACTGCAGGACACTTGACTGTGGGGTGACCCTGGAGTACTGCCCCAGTGTGAACACAAGTATGCGTGATAACTGGAAAAGCAGTTAACCCAGTGGGAATTAACCCAGGCTCTCAGCTGTACAAGCACAGATTTAAAGCACGCACAACCACTGGCTGGCCTCCAGGACTTGCTTGCAGGCAGGCAGGAATTTGGGACAAGGGATGTGCTAGAGAGCAGAGAAGATGTGAGAGTGAGTGAGCCCCAAACCTGCAGGCTTTGGATGCCTTAGTGGGATGAGCATCTCTCCCTGCTCCCCCATCTCAGGAGCTCCTCTGAGCCTATACTTCCAGTGACCCCAGCCCCAAAATCCCACAGCCCCTCTCTGCAGGTACACCAAAGCTGGGTACCCCTGTGAGGCTCCCAGTGCTGGAGGCCCAGGCTGGGGAGCCACAGACATGACACAGCAGCAGCCTCTGCTTTGGGCCAGGACCTCCGAGCTCTTGGATGTCGGTCTGAACTTCAAGGACTGGTGGCCCCAAGGAAGGGAATGGGTGCAAACAGCAAGGAGCACTGCATAGCCACGTTCGTGCCTGGCACCTCTCCCCACCGGGGTCCCCGTCAGCTTTCAGGATGAGCACACTGAAAGTCTTAAGCATGAACATCCTAAGTGTGGAAAAGCATACCCACCTCATGGCAATGTGGGTGCTCAGCACCTGGCAGCATCCAACTACAAGGTCCAAGAATAACCTTTCCCAAGAAGGGGCTCTGCTGTTGCTGGGGAAACACTGAGCTCTGCAAAGCAACAGGGACAAGGACTGTGCAGCCTCCAGCCCTGGGCAGGGGTGTGCAAGGAGCACAGCCATCAATTTCTCCTGTTGCACTGTTGCCTTTTGCACATGAGGTCCAAACCAGCTTATGCACAGAGAGTAGACCTCTCATCCTCTAGTTTTTACCCATGACAAAAGACCACCCTGGACACCCTTCTAGCTGCTTTCTAGCTTGGAGATCATATTTAGGATATATTAATGCAAGAGGGAATGAGAAAAGGACAAGAAAGGTGTGAAATCAGAACCAGTCCCTTGGAAGTTTGTTCCAGTAGAAGAGTGCAGACAGCTGGGCCTGGTGCAGGGAGTGTTAGGGACAACAGGAGTCTGCAGCAGGAACAGAAAGGGAAAGGTTGAGAGTGCCTTGAAGAGAGAAAGAGAGTGAAAACCCCAGCTCCACTTAGTGACCTCTAAGAAAACAGCCCCTGTGTAGCCCCCAGCTGTGAGCTGCTGCATCTCAGGGCAGAGCCACTCACATAAGGCAGCAAAAGATGCTGTGACTTGTAGGAGGAAGGCTGGCTGTCTTACATGCACCATAGGCCTTGGGTGTATATTTGCTTCCAACACCAGGAGCTGGGGTCCCTACAAAGCCCCAGCTCTGCCCCTCACCTCTGGCAGAGGAAGCCCCCATGGGTACCATTGATGCCAGTGGGGCACAGGCCCTGCGTGAGCTGCACCTTGGCCTCTTCCAAAGGGCACCCGCGAAGTGAGGACTATTCTGGGCCAGCGATGCAGCCATCAGGGGGACTTACCTGTTGGTCTGCGCAGAGGAGAGCCAAGTCATGGCTCTGCCTTGCTCCAGGTCCAAGCTCCCAAACTGGGCTGTCTGCAGCACATCAGAGCGGTCCAGCTGGCACCGGGGAGGCACACAGAGCTGCCTGCCATTGAGCCAGGGGCTGTCCACACACACAACTACTCCTGAGCCAAAGGCAGGCTCAGGGCATGCAGCCATGCTGCCCTGCTGCTGTGACAGCTAAGTCAGCCCTGTGGCTGCAGCTGGCTGCAGGGCTGAGCCAGGGATGGGCTCCATGTGCTGCTCTCCACCTCCGCCGCTCTCCTGCCTCCTCTGCGCCGGCGCCTCTGCCACGGCTGGGCGGCAGGAAAACCCTTCCCTGCAGCTCTCACCCCCTCCACAACAGACCTTAAATCAATAAGCCCAGAACACAGGGCCAGGTTATTGCTAACGGAAACCATTAAACTGTAATACGGGGGGGATAAAGCCAGCCTCTAACACTTGAAAGATTTATAGGCCACAACAGTAGGGTGTTAATTCTTTTGGCAACACAAACACTTTCGCACCCTCTACCTTTCCTCACCCACAGGAGCGAGAAGAGGGGACCATGTGCAGCCTGGCTCCAGGAGTGGAGGGACACAGCCTTGTTTGCACTGTGGCCAGCAGCACACATCTGGGGTGACACTGTGCTCCCAGGGCTGCCCAAATGCACATGCTTCCCCAGGGGCTGTTCTGCTAGGAAACATGCCCCATGCCCAGCTCCAGCTTCCCTCTGACACTCCCAGCTCCCACCTGCCTCCACAGCTGCAGCAGAGGTTCAAGGAAAAGTGAAGAAACTTCCAGACCAGTTCTTGGGCACACAAGCCCTTCCTCAGACCCAAATCAGCCTGCAGCTTGCAAGTCTTTTTGCAGGCACTCTCCCTGCAACACTCGCTGGGATCCACACGGGCTGAGCGCTGCTGGGGCAGCTCAGGGTCTGGGAACGTCCAGCGTGAGAGCTGCAGCAAAGTGGGCTTGCATGGACTCCCAAAAAGGGACACCCATACCCTCCCCCTCAAGTCCCTGCCAGGCCCTGGCTTTCCCCCCGTCCTCTTGCATCTTCCTGCCAAGCCAACATCCCTGGCAAGAGCTGTCTTACTGATTGACAGTCCCCTGCCCACCTTCCCCCTCCAGCCTGCTCACACCTTGGCCTGCAGCTGCCTCCTCGGACCCTCCCTTGTGCAAAGTCCAGGCCCAGGCAGGAGAGGACAGGGTGGGAGTTCACCCCACTAGCAGCCTCCCCACACCCCACATACCCAGCATACTGCCATGGCCTCCCTGGGCAGAGCTATGGAGCAGCAGG